TTCTTAATGTTCTTGAATCAAATGATTCAATTTGTTCCGTTATGTATAAGATTGTGTGTCCTCACTATGTCGCCCGTGTGTCCGAAAAATTAAAAATAAATATAAAAAATATTAGCATGTTGGACAAGTGTCCAAGACCGACACTGTCCCCTTTTTAACGTGGTGGTGCTTCCTAGATTATAAGGACTATTCTCATTTCTCAGTTATTTTCCCACCTAAAGAAGGAAAAAATAAAACATACATTGTTGTGGTCAATTGCTATTGCAAAAGTTGCTCCAGTCTAAAAAAATAATCATTAAAAGCTCACATAGTAATATCAATATAAGAATACACTGACTCACCTCTGAATTGATGAAGCATCTGATGTCATGACCAAGTTAGGAATTTAGAACGGGAAGAAGTTAGGAAGGAATTTACTTGGTTAGAGCTAAGTCCATAATCTTTTAGAATTTGGAGGGCTTCAAATCCATAACCTGGAAAATAGAATTTGTTCTCGTGTTGGAAAAGAGGGTTTTTGGAGAAAATTCTTAGTAGCTAAATATGGTATCTCTAAAAATAGGTGGTGGTCTAGGGCCGGGCTTTCTCTCTTCACTCCTCTATGAAGACCCTTGGGGTCCAATTTTTAAGCTTAAAGACACCACATCATCAAAAGAATTAAATGTTCGATTGGAAGTGTGAAAAATGCTAGCTTTTGAATTGAAACTTGGATCAGAAGTGCCCCTCTCTACCTTTATTGCTATCTCAAGACTATATTCGCTCCCAACCACAAAGATTGCACCATGAAAGAAACTTGGAACCTCTATTCTCTCAATTGTAACCAGCATTTAGAAGGAATTTTCTGGAACAAGAAATACAAGACTTGGCAAACTTTATAAACTTTATGTCAAACTTCTCCTTCATCAGTACGTAATACTCCAAACCCTATAATAAATGGTTTTAATTGATTGGCTCCTCTGGGATCTTTCCACAAAATCCCTTTTTAGGTACCTTCCCAAAAGTAGGCTTTTTGACGGTACTCTGTAATAATATTTGGTACTCAAGGTATCCTAAAAAAGGTGAAGTTTTTCCTTCAGGAGTTTCCTAAAGAGGTATCAAAATGCGCACTAAACATCCAGAAGTGAATCTGCAATTGGTTTCTTCCTCCTGGTTGGTGCTTCATTTGTAGAAAGGATGATGAATCTCAAAGTCGTCCCTTCATTAAGTCTCATTTTGCCGATCAGTTCTCCCCCCAACGTTAATAGCCTTCTCACAGCCACCCTTCAAGGGACAAAAAAATATATATATATCTTCTGACACAATTTGTTTGAGCCTTCTTTTGAAATCTTTGGCTTGAAAATAATAGAAAAATTTTAAACAATGATAAATTGCTTCCTAAAACAATCCTGCTAAAAGAAATCCAATACATGCACTTTTCGTATATAACCTTCTGTAATAATCAACTACTTCCTTTTTAATATCTACCTTATCCATGGTAATAGAGTCATCTCCGGACTAATCTCACAGGACAACCGCCTGACCCCAAGGAAACTCGTAGCTCTAGAAATCAATCTTAATAAAAGGCATTTACATTACGTGCCTAAGGCATTTTTTTTTCTCTCTCTTTTTCTTGTGGGGGCAGGGGCAGGGGTTGAGGACTGTTTTCAAGCACCTTCTTTACGACACAGTACACACTTCAACTAGGATCTCTACATCTAAACACTTCTTCATTTTTAAATCCTCAGGTTGATATTTAAGATGAAGCCTCCAATTTCATCTTCGTAAACCCATCCTCCACCAATTGGCACAAATATTAGAAAGACTTCAGTTACAAAAAAAAAAAATCCATTTAAAGGTTCTCTTCAATGCCAATAGAAGTCCAATCAATGCCATCAACTTTTAGGCCTAGACCTGATGGGCACAATACACTTGAAGAAGTTGATATTTCCATCTTGACATCATCCCCCTATGAAGAAGAAAAATACCTCTGTCCAAACATTAAATAATAGGTAAAAGTTTACTTAGCATCATCTAATGCATTCCAGAAGCTAGAAGCTAGATCTATGAATATCTTAGCAAATTGGAAGTGTCTCTTGTAATCCCTCTCTTGAGGCTTTTGTAATTTCATACATCAATTGTTTCTTTCACAAAAAACAAAAAAAATGAATATCAATTGATCATCAAGGACTATTGAGAGACAATGGTAGGAAGACAAGTAAGAAAGGTTGCTAATCTAGAAAACTAAAATTAATTACCCATAATATGTCCTAGTTGTACTCAATACAATTACAAACTAAAAAAGTTATCGTACCTACTTGAGAGTGTTTTATAGTAAGAAGATACCTAAATCAGATATCAGTGGTTTACACTTGCTATGGGGATTAAGAGCCTAAAAACTCGACATTTTTGTACTTGGATAAGAATCTTACAAATTATACAACCATCTCGAGCACATTCAAAACCATTGTATAATAGGTGGGCTAAGACAAGGTACATTTTTTGCCCAAAGTTGGACACATTCTCAGGTTAACCAAGAAGAAACAGTCATTTGATATACTCCAAAATCAACAAGGTGCACATAATTAGAAATAGACGGGAATAAAAAAATTCTAAATTGGCATCAGTAGTCATTCTTCTGTTAGAAAATCACCATAAATGCCGAGATAATAGTTGTCACAGAGGCTCCTATGAATCCCTCCCAAGTTTTCTTTGGAGATATCTTGATCAACGGGGTTCTTCCAAAGAAAAATCCAAAAAAATATGCAGCAATATCATTTATTACAATGAGTGTTGCCGGAAGGAGAAACCTGCCCATACATTTGGTAATCTATCAAATAACAAATCTAAAGAATTAAAATTTGGCTTTAAGTAAAGGTCATTAAAATGCTAACTATTAACATAATGGACCTTGATGCCATCAAATTTTATTCACAAATTATTGCAGTGTTTCGCAACATTGATTGGGCATGCTAGACAAATGGAGTGTAATTTTGTAAGCTCAAGTTTGAGGTTTCCCCTACTGTGTACTTTTCATCATGCACATTAAAAAGATCATTACAATACAAATGAAACCATTCAAGAGAACACTTTGATCCGACAATACTAGACATGAAAAATTTATGATTCAATAGAAAAATATGTGCACTAGTTAGGTAATGTGGCCAGGTAAAAACCAAATCTAACCTCTAGTTACAAACAACAGCATTGTTTCCTCGAACATTTCATACTTTTATACCTAAGAGGTCATTGAGCACAAAATCTAATTCCTTGCATAAAAAATTTTCATACAACCATCTTCCTCCATATAATTTTTTAAATTCAGATAAAATGCAGGTGCAAAACTAGATAGGAATATGTCACTTTTTATCTCAAAATTAGAAAGAACTAATATCAAGTTGAGAATTTAATTATTCTGGAGTTTCCTGTTATTTGATATTATATTTTAGGTTAATTTCAAGGTAAAATAATTTAGTCTGATGTAGCAAAATGGTTGTCTTGTGACTATTTGTTGGCTCATGCGAAATGTCACAACTTGGGTTGGATCCCAAATTTGAACCCACGAACCTACCAAGAATCCCCAATGATTGTTGTATATGTTCTCGTACCAATCATCGGAATTCCCACCTATAGCTCTTCTGTGCGACATTTGTCCCTTTTATTGATAAATCTAAGAAGATTCTATTCAAGAACGAATCCACAATAATATAAACATTTGAATCTTCCTTTAAGTGGGTGTTCAAGGTGAGGTCAGTTTTGCTTCAGATGTTAACCCATGTTTTCCCAGTGGGGTTGTCTAAGCTTGGGGTTTTCTAGACAAACCCATGAGTTTCAACATTACCCCAAACTCATCACATAGTTTTCCTAAACCTGCACCTCAAACTAAATCCTCCACTTAAACTCCAGACTTGACATTCTTAAGCTTAAGATACTGAATCTGCATCCCAAACCCCTTAAGAGAGACGAGAGTTATTTGAACAAATAGTACTGCCAATTGGTTTGCTAGCAAGACCTCGTCTCATCTCTTGCATGAATTGCTTTGTTCCTATCCCAAAAGAAAATATATCTTGCATGAATTGCATTTGGTCCTATATACATGGACGTCAGTAATGATTTTGATCGATAGGCTAAGAGTTATTAAACTAGCCTTTACCAATTCACATTCTTAGTTTGTAGAAGACGTTATATATCTAGTCATGATCCTACTCTCAAGAAGAATGCTGGAATCATGGGTAGTAATTATATTATTGTCATTTTGTGGGAGAGGCTTGGGAGTGGGTGCATCTCTTCTTAGACCTCCACCAAAGAATTTAATCATTCCCAATTATTTTTCACTACGACTAATTAGAGTTAATTTATATTTTCAAGGTATCATATTTCTGAAATTTTTAAGGATTTTGTTCACTTTAACTCAGATTGTGTCTTGTTGTACATCTTGTGGCTCCATAAAAGTTCCTGCATCTAAGTAAACATAACACTTCTATAAAGCCGTAATAAGGTACAATTACCTTCAAACTTTTACAGTACGCTCCTTATTCTCTTCTTTCACACACCTTCATGGCTTAGAAAATCACTCTCTCTGTTTGGTTTGGGGCGGGAAGCTCCCCAAAAAAGTTTTTTTCCTTTTTCTTTGGGAGCTTTCTCATAAAGCCATAATCACAAACAATGTAATTCAAAAAATAATGCCCCACATGGCCCTCCCTCCAAACTGCTGCTGTCTATGTTTTGAAAATGCTGAAAGTGCTGTGCATCTTTTATCCTCTTGCCTATTTGCTCACAGCTTTTGGTCTTTCATCCATAATGCTTTCAACTGGATTTATACTTGATGACCGATCTGCATTTACCTTCACTGCCCATCCTTTTCATGGAGAAAAATAAATGTTATGGTCTAATATCTCTAAAGATTTTTTTTGGTCATTGTGGTTGGAGAGAAACAATAGAATCTCCAGCAACTTTGGGAGACACTTTGATTTTTTTTTTTTTTTTTGACATTGTAATTGCTTTTGAATTATCATAATGTAAATGCTACCTTTCCTTCTCAAACTATAATCTTTTAATTCTTTTGGTCAGTTGGAGGGCCTTTTTGTAACCTTTTGCTTGGGGTTTTTCCCCCTCCTTGTAAATTTCATTTATAAAATACATATTTCTATTTCCAAAAGAAAAACATACATTTACCTAATATGAGAAGATGTTTAAATTAATAAAATAATGTGATTCGAATGACCTGATGATTTTATGCTTCTTCATGCTGGGTATAGTGTATTGCATAAGTCATAGATGAGATAATCCTTGTTTCAATATTTTATAAACTCGTATATTTAGTATCCTAAGATCTTTGATATAAGAAACATCTAGAAATAACTACCATAGTTCAGAGAAGATAACAAAAAAACAATTGGCATAAGAAACCAAGTGAAAACTCAGACCCTGATATTAAGATTTTTTTTTTTTTTTGATATGAAACAATATTTCATTGATGATATGAAATATACCCTGATATTAAGAATTAAGATGGTATCAAGCAAAAATTAGCTAAGCAAAAGGTCAAAAATAAATCTAAACAAGGACAATTTTATTATAAGAAGAAAAGGGACAACTGAATGAAATAGAACAAAGGACACTCAAAAAGCAAAATGGATTACCAGAATATTCCTTCAAAGATGTTAGCAACAGTGAAAGAAGACTGTGTAAACACCACTATCAAGATCATGTGTGTCCATGCATACTGCCCAAACTGATATTTGTACATCTTCTTCTTTAAAGTAAGAATGAACCACATAAAACCTGATCATGACAACACAAGGTGTTACTTCAACAGCCAGATAATCTTTTTACGGAAAGAGAGAGAGATATATATTATTCAGATAATAGGATAGCAAGCATGCACTCATAAAAGTAAACTAACTTATTTTCAAGAGTCAAAATAGAAGAACCGAGCAGACAATAAATACCAATTGAACATAATCCAGATGTCATTAGTCCTCATTGCTGAAGTTAAGTCACTAAGCATAATGCAAGGACATACCTGCAATATACAAGAAATAACAAATGGCCATTTGATACTTGACAATGCTGCTAACAAGCTGATACAGAACTTTATCTGATGTTACAGTATTGACAAGCCGTTGACTGAGAAGGCGGCCATAAACAAAAAACATTGCCGTGAAGAAGAAGTACCTACATAGAGTTTGGGAATCATAAAACACCTATAACGACTAATAACAGCAATGAAATTTGATGGAAGAAGATTGGCTGTGGCATTTCATCTAAAACCATTAATTCTCATTGGTAGATTAAATCCTTCTTAATAAAAAGTAGATACATATGGTACCAGTTTAATGACCGGAATCCTGGGAGGTGCCTATCTTCATGGGTCCTCCTAAGTAGATTGAAGAGTTCTCGTGCCATAAAGATTTGGATTACAACCACCATAGCCATAATATAGAGATGTCCAAGGTATATTGCTAATGCAAACCCTCCAATCATCCAGACGGATGAATAGGCACGAATCAACATAGACTTGTATTTATTTCTGTCATTAACAAGTAAATTGCTTCCATTTGGCTTAAAATCCTCCGCAATACCCTAAAAAAATTGGGGGAAGAAAAGCATAATTCAGGGCATTTTTGTGTCAACAGAGCAAGCAAATGATAACAGTTGCAAAAAGATAAAATATTTTTCTCCTGCAATTTATTCAAAAGGAAAATAAATAAAGCGACAAAAGAGTTAACAAAAAAGAAAACAGTATTAATTATTATTAAAAAATGAAGATAAACACTAATCTACCATCATTAGTAACTTATTAGCAAGTTCTAGAAAATTATACCATTTGTGTATATATCATTTCCCTGAGGCAACACAAAATCATGTGAAAAGAAAATGGCTGATAAGATAAGCGGAAAACAATAAAAGTCATATCAAGGTGGAGAAACCTCATTTGATCGCCTACGGTGACGAAGCCGAGCACTAGGGCTCGACGGATAGTTGATACTGTTCTCTCTCTGCATCTCTCTCCAAAACCAGATCTCACATCAATGCCGTATATACCCTGGTAGAACAATCACACAAAACGCCAGCACACGGTTCATGTGATTAGGAACGCAAATGAATCAGTTCAGCTTGTTTTTGAAAAACAAAATCCCGAGCTCGAAATCAAAAAGAACAAAATAACAAAAGAGTGAGTGGAACCTGTGGTGGCTGTACGCAGCACGAGACAGGTGGAGAACGGCGACGGATCAAAATGATTGAAGTCTGAATGACAAAGAGTGAGAAAGAGAAGCGAAACAGAGTGGATAAACGAAAAAAGTTGATCTCAACCTGTCGAGTAGTGAAGGCTTACATTACACGAAGCTTCTTCGTCCTTGATTTCTCTGTGAATTTGGTAAGCGCCGGAGAAGAGAATGTTAACTCCAATGGAATTTTCTGTATTGGATTCAGAACTGTCACTTCTTCTTCCACACGAGAGAACATTTGACGACGACGATGATGATCTCGCACCGAAACCTACAGCCCAAGAAAATGGGTAATTAATTTACAAAAATGACCTTTTTTCGATAAGAATATAAAAATAAACCCGTTTTTTTAAATTTTACTAAAACTACCCCTGAATTATTAGATGGTTACCTTCAACAATTTGCCTTTTAGCACTGACAAATCAGTGCGATTAAACTTTTATAGTTATAATTCCATTAGTAGTAAGGTTTAATTACAATATCTTCTTCATACTAAACAAAAAATTACAATATTTTCCTCCTACCAGTAACAAAATTTTCAACGAATACGAACATAACTCAAAATTAATAATCTTAGTCTTCGACTAAAAAATCGGAGGTTCGAATCTCACCACCAATTAAACTAAAAAAACATGTGGGAGTGAATATTCAAATTTCTAATCTTTTTTTAGTCTCAACGATATATATCTTAACCAGTTAAATTATGTTCATATTAGTAATAATTGTGTAGGTTTTGTGATGTGATGCTACTCTAATTTTGTTCTTATGATTTGAGTTTGAATTTAATTTAGTCTCTTATGTTTTTAAAATTTTTACGTTGGTCACTATAGTTTTTTTTTTTTTTTTTTTGAAATAGTCATACCTTAAAAATGGTCTTTGCACCATTTTTTATACCTACTATAAAACTCACTTATTTCATTTGGTTTTTTACTCCACCCTAATCTTAATATAGTAAACCAATACAATTAGCGAATTAAAAAGCACCTTCTCATTGTTATGTAAATATAAATTGTGTCAAATATTTGTAATATAACAACAACTTGTAACACCAAAGACTATGTGTGATAAAATTAAATTGAAATTTTTAAAATTATATGGACTAGTTTGAAACTATATAAAAATAATAATGATCAAATTGATGCCTAAGTTCAAACCATACCGACCGAATTGGAATTTGACTTTAAATATAATATTATTTTTTTCTTTTGAGTACATGATATTAGTTTATATATTTTGATTCTCATAATCTCCCTATTTCTATTTGTAACTATTTGGTCCTATTTTAATTTAGAGATGTAACGTCGAGTGTTTGGAGTTAAATTTGTTTAATTAAAACTTTAATTGAAAAACGATATATACAACGCAAATAATTAATTAAATTATTGGGCTAAGAAGGATATACATATACATATGTATATTTTAATCTTTTTGAATTCAACCACGTGAAAAAGTGAGAACTCGAACTTTTAACCTTTTAGTGATGATATATACCTTAACCAATAAATATATGTTCAAATCAGTAAGAATGAAACTTTTTAAGTCAATCCAATCATGGGTAACTTTGATCTTTTTAAGCAACCCATTAAAAAAATTATTCAAGCTTGTTGTTATAAATTCATCCATGACCTTATTTTTTTTCAATTTAACTAAAGGTACCAGATCATAAACTAAATAGATTATCACATCTTAGATTATATCATTCTCGAGACTTTTTTTTTTATCAGATTCATTCTATTCATGAGATAAATGATAGAATTAACATAATGTGGCTACGTACATCTTTCAATATCATGCATCTAATTAACAATTATGATATTGAAGCTCAAAAGCAGTATTAATAAAAAAATAACCAGTTGTTATTTTTTTATTAATACTGCTTTTGAGCTTCAATATCGATCAAATTATGTGGGTTCATTTTTTCCGTAGAGACTTGTCCTAAATGTGACGGGGAATGCTCATTTAAGTCATCCACCAGATGGTGTGGTACATATTTTACCCCATTCCCAACCCTGCCCCTTGCCCCTATATATATAAACACACAAAAATTATACTTGGACCATAAAATCATCATTATGCATTAATCATTTAATTAGAAATTTCTTTAAAAAATTATTTAAGATGATAATAATACTTAATAATAATAAGCAGGCAATCAAATTCCATGAATTATCGAGAAAAATATACAGAATATAGTGGTAAATTTCATGGAGATGAAAATTGAAATGAGGGCTAAGGACGCTAGTTAAACCATCAATCTTAGAAATTGTAAGATTAACTATATAGTTAGAACACTATACTATATTATATTATTATTTATTTATTTATTTGAGGAAGTGAAATCTATATATTGACTAGAATATCACTGAGGCAATAAGTTATCCAGAATCAAAAAGTGCAAATCAAACAACTACATAGTTTTTTATGAAGTGAACCCCTTTCAATTTGGACAATGAAATCAAATAAGAACAAGAACGAAGAACAAACAAGTAGTTTGTAAACTAATCTCCACCAAAATCAAACAAAAATTATGATACAAACTAAGTGAYTCCTTGCAACTGACATGAATCTCCTCCCTCTTAGGCCTCTCCGTCCAAAATTCCCTTACTTATCACCATTGATCCCTCTCTCTTTCTCATCAATCCAGTTTCCATCGGAAGGCGCTTCCAATTTCGATCCTCCGATCGATCTCCCATGGGAGCCAATCTCTGCAGCTTCAGGAGTTCGTGCGTCAGAGGACCGACGACGGCGGCCCCCTCCGGTGACGGTAATCCGAAAAGCGCTTTCAGATTTCGGAAATTTTTCCTACTGCGATGCGATTCTCTGTTTTTGAAAATTTAGGGCTCGATTTTGCAGGCCGTGGAATATCCGAGTGGAGAAGGCTACAATGGTGGAGGAGAGAGGAAATCGAAGTGAAGAGAGAGAAAGAGGCGTCGATTGAGAAGCAGGAAACGAAGAGGGAGTACCTGTCTCTGGAGGAGTTGCTTTTGGCTTCTCCGGGACCGTCGTCGGAGCAAGGTTTCGGTAATGGCGGAAAGTTTAACGTATCGAGACATGGCGGATTCAAGAGAAAAGTGCATCCAACGAGGATTTGTAATTCGTCTTCGATTTGTGAGAGATCGGGGGGTGCGGTCGGCGAATCGGTTGCAGATCAGGATGAGTTTTCTGGCGGCAGTTTTTCGATTTGCAGAAGCGAAAGTGGGAAGTTGAAGAAGAAAGTGAGTTTCAGACTGCCGGAGGTGTCGGAGGTGATCGTAATTTACTCGCCGGAGGAAGGTGCGTCGGCCGACGACGCGAATGTTGCTTCGTAACTTTTTAACAACTACAACTCAAAAGTGCAAAATAAAAAAAATATATAAAAAATATACTTTTTCAATTGCCGCGGGACCCGTTGGGAATTTTCAATTGTCTTTTTTGTTTTTGTTGTTTTTTTTTTTTTTCCTTCTTTTTCCTTAGTTTTGCGCCTGTGATAGGTTGCTTTCCTAGAAGAAGGAACTTGAAGAAGAAAGGGTTGAGAGCGAGTGGATTTTGTGTGTGGGTGGCTGCTAAGAAAAAGTTAAAACAATGTAAATTTAACATTTGGGTAATTTTGGGCGTAAGCTTTAACAAAATTAATAAAATATATTTAAAAATCAATATATTAAATAAAATAATTAATAATTATAGAAATATTAAAATATTAAAGGAGGCGAAAGACAATGATGGGGTCGGCGTCCCAGATCCCCGAATAAAATTTCCAATTTAACCGATACGTTCCGATTGGGTCGGGTATCTACAAAGTTGGGTCCACGGGATTCTTTGCCATCCCCACCTGATCACTACAAATATATTTGATAAATTATGGAAAAGAGGTCAAGTTTATTCTTTTTCTTTTTTTTAAAGGAATGGAATAGGTTTTTAAAAAGGGAAAATCTAATCAAATACAGAAAAATGTGTCAAATCATTTAAACTACTAATTCATATTAATTTTGGAATAAATAGCTCGTAAATAGATAAGTTTGAAAAAACAATAACAATAAAAGTGAGTGAAAGAGCTGTAATACCTATAAGATTGAATAACAAAGTATATTTTAATATATGTCGTTTACAATGTGAAGTAAATTAAAAACTTATACAAACGCTAAATAATTTTCAAGACGCAGTTATACAAAATTAAAGTCTAGGAATTAATTAGACAACTTTTAAAACATGTTTACAATAAGAACATGGGATCTTAAAAGCTTGTTTGGAACACTTCTCATTTGAAATAGTTAAAGATTGAATAACAAAATATACTTTAATATATGTTTGGTACAAAGTCCAAAAAATTAAAAACTCATTAGATACAAGATTGATAATTCATACACGTATTAGATACAAAATTGAAAATCTAGAAATTAATTAGACAACTTTTAAAACATGTCTACAATAAGAACATAGAGAGTAAATAAAACGCGTATTAGATACAAAATTAAAATTTTAGGAACTGATTAGACAGCTTTTAAGACACGTATTAGAAAAAAAAAATTGAATAAAAAGAGTGAAAGTCTAAAAATTGATTAGACAACTTTTAAAACATGCCTACGATAAGCCGAGCTGAAGCTAAGGAAGATCATCTCACATGCTCCGACCTATGTGGATTTCGAACTTGGTCTTTTTTTGATCAAACAGAGAGTCAGTGAAATCCGTATTAGACATGAGTGAGGTGTAATTTGAAAACATATATTAGAATTTAAATTAAAAAAAATGAATAAAAAGAGTAGTTGTGAGAGGGGGGGAGGGGAAGGGGAGTGAAAGAGGGGAGGAATAGATAGAGCCTTTTTATCATCAAGGTAATTAAACAAAGATGGCGGAGGCGACGCTGCTCTGATAAGACAGACATAAGGAGCGAAGAGACTTCCCACTCTAAGCTCGATCCCTCCAAATAGGGTCCCTAAGAATGCCCCCTTCTTCTTCCACCCCACAGTCAAGCCCATCTGTCCACACACACACGTATCCACTATTTCAACTATCTTAATGCCCCCGCTCGGGTCACAACCCCACGCTACCGGGCTCGGCGATGTTGCCGTTTCTTCAGCCCCAACAAAAACAAAGCCTCTTCTCTTCCTTTTACCGATGTGGGATGCAAAATTGTGTTATTGGTTGGCCGTGGGAGTTACACGTGTCAAAACAACAAATTTTTACAATGGTAACTAAAAATAAACCACCAAAACTAACTGAAGTAATTACGAAATGTAAATACTAAAGCAAAAGGCAAACGATTCTCTCAAAAAAAGAAAAAAACCTAATCCTTTTGCTTTCTCGAATTCCGATTCTTTTTCCGTATCTGAGGAGAAATATAATACAGAGCGGCATTGGAGAGAGCAATTGATCTAGCTTTTTCAGCCGGTAGCCATGGCGGCGATGAAGAAGCTACTCGCGGTTTTGACGGCGGCGTTTTTTGTGAACTCGGCGACGCCGCCGGGTGCCGGAGCGGAGACGCACCATGTCGTCGGCGGCGACCGCGGCTGGGACGTCGATTCGGACATCAGTTCTTGGTCCGCCGGGAGATCCTTCCGAGTCGGAGACAAAATCTGTAAGATCTCTTTGCCGATCCATCCGTCCATTTTCTAATTTAATGCGTAAGAAATTTCTGATCGGGAGGAAGATGGAAATCGGAACCCGCGATTTTTTCCCACCCGCCAGGAACTCGGAAACACCTGGAAATTCACGAATGGATATGTTGAGATCTCTCTGATTTATTTTGATTTCGTGCATTATTGACCTACAATGTTTTCTCGTTTATATTTATATAATTATTTATAGAATCCATCTTTAATCTTTTTTCCTCTTAATTATAGATTTATTTTTATATAAACTTTTAAGTTTGTATTTAATAATTTCTGGTATGGACATGATAGGTTGAAAAAACTAGAAACTTTCATTTTAAAAATATTAGAACTTTGACACATAATTAAAAGTTTTATTAGACTTTTGAAATGTATTAAATATTTTTTAAAATTCATTATTTATTAGATACCGCATTCAAAATTAAGGACTATTTATTAGATACCCCATTTAAAAAATTAACCTAATTTTTTAATTAAAAAAGTCACTTTTTTTTGTTTTCTTTGATATCCAAAAAATATATATATATATTTGAAAATCCATGGAATAAACTTGGATTGTGGTATGGCGCAGGGTTCGCATACTCCGCGGCACACGGCAATGTGGTGGAGCTGAGAAGCCAAGAGGAATACGAAGCGTGCGATGTTAGTAATTTCACAAGGATGTACACGGACGGCATAGATATCGTGGCGTTAAACGGAGAAGGGATCCGCTACTTCGCGAGTAGCGAACAAGAGAGCTGCAAAAAGGGCCTGAAACTGCACGTGCAAGTGCAAGCCCAAGCCCAACAGAATTCCGAAACGACAGAAGATGAAAGAACGAACGACGTGTCGGTGGCGGATTCAGCCGCAGCTCCGTCAACCCCTTCCACCTCTTCTCCTCCCCACACTCCCATTTCTTATATAACTCTCACCCTTTTTCTCTTTATGCTTGGGCTTACTTATTGGATCAGCTGAGTTTTTTTTTTTTTAATCCAAATATAGTGTTGTAGGTTATTGCTTCATGTTGAATTTGGTTTTTTTAATCATGTAACAACCTTAATTAGATTAGTAATCATAGGGTGATATACTTTACTAGAGTAAGATAGAACATGTATAATTACTATATTGAGCTAGGTAAGATGTAGAATTCGTTCTGGTTACGACCTATGAAATCCATTTTCTTTATATCGACTAAGAAAATTTCTACCCTACTAAACTTTCTTTCGACATTTAAATGTCTATTTTAATATTTGAACTTTTTGGTTTATTCTATTTTCGTTCAAGAACTCTTGAAAGGTGTATTTTAGTCATTAAATTTTTAAAAATAGTATTATTGTTGTTTTGCTTTTAACATTACTGTGAATGTGTATTTATGTGCTCGTGGGTATAATAACCACATGGATGGGGTTGTAATGTGTCTAATATTTCTTTTCTCTCTTATCTATCTTATTGGTTGTTAAGGTGAGTTTTTTCCTTTCAAATTTCCTCATTTTCTTGGACAAATTTGGATAGTGACCATTTTCTTACTTAGGTTCATGCCCATGCCCTACAAAGACATTTGATGTCATTCAATGTTGCTACTTTTCATCTCTCGTAAAATGACGATGTTGAAGTTGTTAGATTCGTAATCAAGACTCTTTTATGCCATAAAGCCAAGACCTCGAATATTTCATAAAAGGATTATATGGTTCGATCTAGTTAGGTTCTTTGTCGCATGAGATTGTTGTTTTCAGACTCTTCAACTCCTTGAGACCACAATTTTACTTTACATAGATTTGTGTTTGTTTTTATTTTGGTGGGGTTGGTCGATACTCAACAGGGAGAAATAAAAAGCTAAATTGTACCATTAGTGTTCAAAAAACCTGCTAACCCAAAAAATTGATAAAGTTCAACCCACGCCATATAGTTTGTATAAACTTGTTTTGGTTAGATTAGATTTAAATAGATGAAAGATTTTATGGGTTGAATTGGTTCAATAGTTCACCTAAAATAAATATCGAATCCACCCAAATTATTAATTGAAAACTAATTTTTTTACTCACTAAAATTATGTATAATTATATTTATTTTAATTTTATTTCATTCCATAATTCTTTAGAGATGAATTGTTCTACAACAATTTTTAAAACCAACTTTTTTTAAGGTTTTAATTTAATGTTAAACAATATATAAATAAATATTGAACATTGATTCAATGTTAAACATTATATAATAAACGTTTAAAATACTATCATTTATTTTTTTCTCCAATATTTTGAGTAAGTAACCCGAATCAAACCCAACTCAAATATTTTATGATCAGGTCGGGTTGAGTTTATTGTTTAACATATGGGTTGATTTTATATAAAATTATATTGACATATACATATGAGAATTGTCAATTTAGTGTTGGCATGTTACTTCGTTTGTAGTCTATTTTAGTCATAGAGTCATAGATCATTTAAAATTATTTTTTAAAAATAGGAATCTGAATTTTTTGAAATTTAAAGACCAAATAAAAATCAATCATGGACAAAAAAAAAAAGCGTAGTTTACCCTTTTCTCTTTTATTATAATAAAAAAAGATTTTTTAAAAGAAAATAATAATAATAACGAAGCATCCATCATTATTGTGGAAAAAAAGAGAGCATTGGGATAAGCGTAAAACGGTCGGTTCTATTCTCTGCCTCAATATATTTCGAATTGATTTAATTCAATTATTAAAAGAAAAATTAATATCTTACTCATCCTTCTCCTCCTCCACCTTCTTCCATGATTTCGAGCTCCTCCTCTCACGGCGGCGCCGCCCACAATGACCACTCTGCCCCTCCCGATTCCCTGCATCTCCAGTCCTCCGCAGCCGCCAAGATCCAGGCGGCCTTCCGATCCCGCCGGATCCGCGCTCTGTTCAGAACGATCGCAGCCGTCGACAGAGAAGCCGATCAAATCCAGATTCTGATCCAGCGGCAGGAGACGGTGGACGCCGTGAGAAGCAGCGATCTGGAGAAGGTGCGGATGAACGAGGCGGTGATGAGTCTCCTTCTGAGGCTGGACTCGGTGCCGGGGATCGATCCAGCGGTGAGGGAGGCGAGGAGGAAAGTGAGCCGCCGGATCGTCGGTCTGCAGGAGATCCTGGACGCCGTGGCGGAGGCGAAGGTGGACCGCAACGGCTGGGATTTGGACGGAATTGTGAGGAATTGGGAGGAGACGGTGGCGGAGATGGAGGCGGAGGTTTGCCGGGAGAGCGGCGGCGAGGAAATGGAGAGGTTCTGTGCTCAGTATTTGGGGTTCCGTTGCCTCCAGAGGTTTCTCAGTGGGCAATAATCTGCTGCGGCGTAGTGTACGGTTATTCCCACGTGTCGGATATCCACGCGTCATAGTTTTTCCTTTTTTTTTTTTTGGTTAGACAAATAAATTAGTTTAAAGATGGGGAAATGAATATTTGAAAAAGGTAGAGATCCCCTAGATCATTTGTAACTGTTATTGAACGTTTAAAAATGTAGTTAAAGTATTTTTTAAAAAAGAAAAAAGAACGTAAGAAAATCTAAGGTATGGTAATTTTGTCTTTAATATCCATTTATCTAAAATTGAAGTTTCTTTATCAACTGTCTATTTTCTTTTTTGTTACAGTTTAGTTAAATTTTAAGATAATTATTATTTAAGAAAAAAACAACTATTTTAATTTATATAATTAGTTAAATTAATTAGCTCTAAATTAACAGCTCTCAAATTACTCCTTTAAATGAGAAAATGATGACACTTTTCTAGAGAGAATGAAAGGCTCGGGGAAATTACCTTTTTATTTTTTATTTTATTATTTGTCATTTCTTCATAATTCAAGAGAGAACCTATGTATCCAATCTACAACATTAATTCATCTAAGGAACTTTTGATGCTATTTTTGTTTTCCGAATTTATCCTCTAGTTCAAGATCATGATAGCGTAGGGGTATTTCTGTCTTTTAGTGATATGTGGCTTTCGCTTTTTATGACTTTGGTTTAGGGTTAAAAGACTTTGTGCTTTCCAGACGAAATTATTTTCTTTAATTAACTAATTAATATTTTTTTAGTACAACAAATGTATAGATGGTGGGGAGAGAATGAGGAAGATACGAAAAATTCATTGGATAGGATGAAAACCTACGTGGAAATCAAAATATTTTGTTGGTAAAAGATTTCGCAATTTAGAACTCTTTAATAAAACTCCTCCGTTGAAATAAGCTTGGAGAATTCTTCATGATTCTTGTTCTCTCCTTGCCAAGTTCTTAAAAGGAAGGTATTATAGGGAAATTGTGACTTTGTGTCTGCAAAGGTTGGATGGAATGAGATGGGAGAATGTTAAGATTTATGGGAACAATTGGGTGTCGAATCATCCTTCGTTGAAAATCTCATCATTTATGAGTCTTCATGTTAAAACTGAGGTTAGTCATTAAGGGTCAATGGAATAGAGAGATAATCCAATATATTTTTTCAGACGATGAAGCCAAACATATTCTAGTTATCTTGCTTGCTTCGTTACGTGGAAGAGATAGACTGATTTGATATCTTGAGAAGAATGAAATTTACTCTATTAAGAGCGGTTATAAAGTATCTCATATGACACACTTTCAACTTCTAATGCTTCTTCCTCTTCAATTGAATCGGTAACTCAAGTAGTGGAATGAGCTGTGGAAGATGAATATCCCTAGTAAACTTAGAATTTTCTTTTGACGATTGTGCTCAGATAAACTCCCTACAGGGTCAATCTACTTTAACGGGGGAGTGGATGTTCAAAATTGTTGTTTCCATGTATTTTGGGGTTGCAAGGTTGTGAAGAGGCAGTGGAGAAATTCCAAATTCTCGACACTCTTAACGAATGGATAGCACCAAAATCCTTTGATTTGTCTTAGGGATTGGCGAGAAAAGGTTAACACAACAGATTTTGAGGAATTGGTTGTTTCCCTTTGGAGAATTTGGAATCAGAGGAATCCAAGACTTTTAAATGTAAGTAAGACGGTGGAACTATAAATCTGACTAAATACTTATATATCTAGCTATCGTTTTACTCATCATAAGAAAGAGAATCAAAYTCGACAACATCTACATCACCAAACTCCCATTTCATGTAAGCCGCCCAAGGAAAGGAAGGTACAAAATTAGTACAAATACAACAGTTTCTTTACTTGATTCTAATGCAGGTTGAGAGTCATTATCCAAGCACAGAGCTCAAGTTTGTCCCCTGAGTGCCTAAACATTTTATCCTAGGTTGTCCTCTTTTTTTTCTCACAAAAATATAAAATAAAAGATAAAAACAAACGTGGAGATGGAGATTGTACCTCCGGCTTCGAGATAATTAAGGATCAAAGTGTTTTAACCCCTCAACAAAGCTTATGTTAACTTCATTTTCTATTTCTAGTTAGGGTGCCAAGCCATACATTATATAGGATAGATTTTGACTATTAATGAAAAGCTGTACCAAGGATCCATCCTTTTTTAAATTTCATATTTCCTGAGTTGCATGTAAAAAACATTCAAGTACGATTGATCGTCCAATCGTGTGAAATGTTCGATTCTTAAATTAACTACGTAACTTTATATGCAAACCAAAACATGCCTATAACATTCTAATTAGTTTAAATTATTTTTAATTTTGGTTAATTTTAGTCTATATACCATTAAAATGTCTATTTTAGGTCATGTATTTTTTGCCATCTTATTTTATATTTTATCTCACTTTCTAGGTCGTAATTTCAACGTAACACTATAATTATATATTAAAGAATTTCCATCGTATATAAAATTCGCATTCAAATTTAATAAACAGAGATCAAAATGAACCGTTTATAAAAAAAACAAGAACCAATACATGACTAAAAGAGTCGGAATAAAGTGAACTAATACAGTGACCAAAATGAACCGAACAAAAACATTGGAGCAAAGTGACCAAAATAGTACTTCCCAGATCCCAAAAGTGAGGTTTTAAGTTTTAAACTTTTAATGTGCTCGAAGAAGAAAGGCCGCAACTGCACTTGCATCTGGACATGCATCGCCTACAAGTAGACAGCCTCGGCCACGCGCCGCCGCAATCGCACCGCTTAACGCACCTCGACCTTGGAGCGCCGCCCCACAGGCACTGCGCCATGCAGCGGAGCGGCGGCGCGCAGGCCGGGCAATCTAGCTTCAACCTGTCTCTGATGCAGTTGCTGCAGAGCTTGCCGTCCGCCGCCGGGCAAACCATCGCCGGAAGGCTCATCAGCCAGACGGCGGTCATCAGAATCACCGCCGCCGTGGCCACTGAGGGATATCGTGATTTCTCCATTTTTTTTTTCCGATTTGGGATGGGATTGAGAAAAATGGGCGTGGAATTGGAATTAATAGACTGAAATTGTGCAGTTGGGAGTTGTATTAAAGAGTGGCATTGAATGTGGGTCAGCCATGTTACTGCTAATTGCTATGCATGTCTTGTTTTTCTCAATTCTTTGTAATTCGTAATTGTAAATATTGTGTATTCATTCTTCACCTGTTTCTTTAGCGTTTTTTCCCTCCCAAATTAATGTCATTTACCATTATTTAATTTTTAAGTTTCAATTTTTTTTAATACAATCATCTGGGGTGAGGTGAGGATTTACATTCATGACTTTCTAATCAGAGATAGACTCGAATTGACAATTTTAAAGTTTCAATTTATGGTTTAGGTAAACATGAAGTTGTCACCCATCAAATACATATTTTTTATTAAAAGATTTTTTAAAAAATAATATATGTAGTTTCTGAAACAATAGAAATTAAAGTGAAAAACTTTTAAAATCAGCAAATTGAAACTAAGCCCAAATTATACCAATAAATTTAATAATTTAACATACTTTTAATTTTGTCTAAAAGACCCTTATATAAGTTAAAATACTATTTTGATCCCTGTACTTTTAGCCTTGGTTCATTTTAGTCATTGTACTTTGAAAATGTTATTTTTAACTTTGGTTCATTTTTGTCCTTGTACCTTGAAAATATTCATTTAAATCCTTATACTTTAAAAATGGATCATTTTGGTCCCTTTTCGTAAGATTTTAACACACATTTTACACATAAAAGAAACTATTTAGTATAAAGTAATGTTTACATTGTAAGAAATATATTGATTATAATGTGATGTTGAAATTGTGATAGAAAAAATGAGATTTAAAATAAAATGAAAGGACCAAAATGGTCATTTTTTTTAAAGTATAAAGACCAAAATGAACATTTTCCAAGTATAGAGACGAAAATGAACTAAAGAAGAAAGTACATGAATCAAAATGAACAGTTTAAAAGTATAAGGACTAAAATGAATCAAAATTGAAATACAGGGATCAAAAGTATTTTAACATCTTGATATATATATATATATTGAATTCACAAATTTATTAAACACTAAAGAGGGGCGAACTAAGTGATCAGCTCAATAATCCAAATTGCCTAATATAAAGTAAACAAGTTTGATATAATATGCAACAGTCAAAATTATGGTATGGTTGAACGATACTAAGAGAGACATTGGGATCCACATACCACTTATGAGTAAAAAATGCAGCCATGAACCAAAGCTTTTGAAACGCAGTCACAACTCTGCAAATACAAGTCCTCCAATCCAAAGTTAACCAAAGTTGCAGGCTGCATTGAAAACTTTTCAAGCCTAATTTCCTACTGATGAAAATTACAGTCCTAGTATATCAATGATATGTCACATAAAACTTAAAAGTAAGTTGGGGAACAAATTTTTTACCTGCTTTACTGAAATGAGTGTGCAGCATTGTCCAGAATGACAATTGATTCTACAAATAACGAAGAAGTTAGATTCAAATATGTGAAAGTGTTTGCTTTTCCATAACAGGAAGCTGCATTTATATCCCACCATTTCAAAACTCATCTTCTCTCCAATCTCTCCTGTTCAAGTACAGGGACATATCTTCTAGAGGGGGAACGAACAAACCAACTAAATATGCAGTTAGATGTGGACATCGAACTTCCTGTCTATTGCTGCCGTTCATATATCTGCATATAAGCCTCGGAGAGAGCAACCATTTGAGGAAGTGTTTCTGAGACATGAAGATCCTGCATCTCGTACCTGTAATTTCGACATTAGATTACAATGGATCAGACAAATTCTAGATCATTGGGCACCATTTACAAAAAGGGAAAGGAAAATTACCATAATTCTTCTGACTTCCTCTGTACAAACACCCTGTAGCACCCTTCGTCGGGTTTGCCGTCATGGACAATATTTGCAATCAAATCGTACTTTGAACGCAATTTTTCATTCTCTTTAGGTGTTGGCAAGGGGATGTAATCCTTCAATTCCAGATTCTTGACAGGGAAGTTCACTGAAACCAAAATTTCAATCATTAGATTACCTCAAGATGACACATTAAGAAGGCTTCACTCTGCTGTAATCTTTTTACAAATATAACGCAATCAAATAACTACCTAGTGTGGGATTCTTCTCCACGAAAAAGTTGTTCTTTGTAAATCGTCGCATATGAAGAATTAAATACTGAGGCAATCGAGTGACACGGTAGCGCATCCTTGCTATACGTGGACGGACAACTTCTGTGATAGCTTCACCATCAAATTTCTTCAAAATGTTGAAGAGCGGAACCTAGAAGATAAATAAATAAAAAATTATTTAGAAATTAAATCACTTCAAGTTATTGCCTCTTGGCAGGGGAAGGGAATTACAAATAACGTAATTTAAGTAAATATTGAGAACAAACACGTAAACAATTAGGTTGAGGTGTGGGTCTCTGGCTCTCTTTAAGGAGCTTCAAGCCCTCTGCGATGTGTATTTATTTATCAACCACGGGTGCTGCAGGTTTTTGATAGATTGATAGTAATGACCTTAGGAGTGTTTAGGGTTATTAGTAGAATAGTAATGATATGCAATTAGATAGGAAAATTGTTAGTGAGAGTTGTTATAAATAGAGTAAGGGGGAAAAGATGAAAGTATGCAACTGTGTAGTGTGGTTTAGGCTTGAGTGATCTCAAGAGGGGAGGGTCCAAGTTCCTTGAATGATTTTGGGATTAGCCTTCTATCTTTTATCTTTCAATCTATTTTAGCTATTTGGTTTCTATCAGTCTTCCCAAGTCTATTCCCTCCAAGATACAACAACCCACTCAAATCACTCTACACTTAGAGATTGAGTCATCTACAATTTATGGACGACACATTGGTATTTTCAGCTGACAATGGGGAAATTCTATCCAACCTAAAAGAGATGGTGTGCTGTTTAGAAGTGATTTCAGGTTTGAACAACTTGGCAAAACGTCTGGTGGATGGTCTGAATGTTAAAAAGAGAAGGTGTTGTGTACTGCATCCGTCTTCATGGGGTTGTGAGGTAGGCTCCAGGCCTTTAGCCTATCTAGGTATGCCGTTGGGAGAAAAAGACAACCAATTGGCTTTTCGGGAACCCGAGGAGAAAGTGGCAAGGAAATTAGCAAGATGGAAAGCACATCTCCTTTGTAGAGGTGGTAGATTAACACTAGCCACATCACTCCTCTCTCAAGTATCCTCGCTACATCCTCTCAAACTTTAATGTCCAAAATAAATCATCAATAGACTGGAAAGGCTAATCAGAAATTTCTTTGGGAGAGGTGGTATGGAGAAAGGAGGCCCCAACCCTATTAGTCAGGAGGTGATTTCTATGCCTACTAGCTTGTGAGGAGTGGGTTTGGGGAGTTTGATTGCAAAAAAAAAACACCGCTCTCTTGGCTAAATGGGGATGGCGGTTTTTAATGGAGAAGGCGGCTCTTTGGAGAACAATAATAACCAGTAAACAATCTTCTTCCCAATAAATGGTGGCTGGTTATTGAAGGAATTTACAATTATAGAGGGCCATGGGTTAAGATTCACCAATGTTGCGCCATAGCAGACAATTGGTACAACAAAAAGGTGGGAAATGGGATAAGGTGCGCTTTTGGAAGAACCCATGGCTCCTAAATGACTCTCTCCTTCATGCTTTTCCTAGACTATTTAGGATGGCCAACTCAAAAGATTTGGTGATAGCTCAATGTTGGTCTGAAAATCGAAGAGGTTGGGATCTCTCTCCGAAGAAATGGGCCGTGCTCTCAAATACTTTGGCTGATTTTGCTCTCACCAACTGTGAAGACCTAAAATTTTGGACGCTTGAGAGCAGTAGAGTCTTCTCTGTCGAATCCCGTATGCCTAAGCTCATGAATCATCAGGTGTTGATGCCTCCTAACATTGGAAATGCTACTTGGCAGCTGAAACTTCCCAGGTTTTCTTCTGGATCTTTCCTAAGGAGAGGCTTAAGACGTGCTTCAGGATTCAGAAATTGATGCCCACGATGAATTTCTCTCCAAATTGGTGCATCCTGTGCAGAAAGAATGGATAAGACAACTCATCTTTTCCTATACGGCCCTTTTGTGGCTGCTTGTTGGGGAATGATTTGCTTGACACGTTCAATCTTAGCTAGGTATTCCCTAACAAACCTTCGAATGCATTTGTACAGCTCATGGTTGGTACAATTTTTTAAGGCCAAGTGAACATCCTTTGGTGTGGGAGTGTGATATGAAAGAAATAGAAGGATCTTCCATGAAAGTGACTCAGATAGAATTACCTTTTGGGATCTTGTTACAACCTTTGTTTCTTCATGGTCTTCTATTACTAAATTATTATGGAGTGACACAAATCTTTAACAGCAACGATCAAAACAACCAACAATTTAAGAGAGCTCTTACAACCATTGCGCCTCCAAACAGAACCATTAGAAGGTCTTTAATTCTCCAACTCAAATTCACAACCATTTTTTCCAAATAGCAGAAAGCCGAAGCACAAGGAAAAAACAAATTATCGAGTCTTTCTCAGGTTCTTTCCATGTTCTTTTCTTCTAAAGCCTCCCCTATCTTGGTTACCCTTACTCTCAATGGTCAAAGCAGTTGTAGGGTCAATGTTTGTAAATGCCCCAGAATAAATATCCAATATTGAAATAAGCACTGAATGAAAATCTTCAAAAGATATTGGGAACTAGTATTTATATGAGTATCCTACTGCGCTGAAGACAATAGCAACAAAATGACACCTACCTGTGGTATAATATTTTTCTCCATAACATCTTTGAAAAGAGGTGGTGGTGGTAAATCCAATCCAAGCATTAAGAATGGCATTCTAGAAGTTTCCATTATGACGCTGCTTCCTTCACTTCCAGCATCCTGATCGTCACCATTTTCTTTCTTCTCAGTGAGAGCTTTTGAGTGAATCTCTTTCACAACCTCCAATTCCCCCTATCCAAATAAATAAATAAATAAGTTGACATAAATTTCACTTATTACTAGTACCAACAAAGCATAATTCACGATATAACTCCAGGAAATTGAAGAGAACCTGGAAACATTCGTAGATTATACTGCTACTTTTCTTTGACATTCGCAGTTCTGAATGAAGTGTGTTAAGAAACCATGACATGAATTCAACAGGATCTGATTGTGCACCTATTCGGAAACGTTTTTTACTAGCCTTCATAACTGCTTGCAGAAATTCATGCGGACTTACCTATAAATCCTCAAGGATTAAAAATCAATGAATTTAAAAAATAAAAACTCAACCACATCCGAGAAGAATAATGTCAGTGACTTGACAGTACAGTCAAACCTGTCCTTTGAAGTTCCTTGCATGCCAAATCTTACGTGTGAGTTCACCAAACCGGTGGACAAGTGGAGATTTGCAGTGCTGATAGTTCTCGGGTATTAGGAAGAAGTTCCTGAGTGGAGTAACCCTCATTAAGGATTGAATTGTCACATTTACAAAATCTGTTTCCTTAATGTTGTTAAGCCCCACCTGTTTAACAAAACCCAAATTTCAGGCCTTCACCAATCTAACAAAAAAGACAACCCACAATTTTTTTTTAAAGAGAAATGGGAAAGTATGAATTATGACAAGAGGGAGACAACCTAGGGGCCGGGTAGAGGGAAACCCCGCCCAAGGGGCTACACGAGAAATGCCTTCCAATCATTATAATCATGAGGAGGCTATAATCATAAAGGAGTATCAATTACCATTCCAGGAAGATAATCAGATCCATCAAGTGCCCTAGACCATTGCTTGTTCTTGTCAAGCAGCTCTACCTGCTCTTTGGTAAACCTGCACCATGGTGCCAAAAGAATCATCAAAACACATTTCATTAAAGATAGTATGATTACTATCCATAGCCAAGCGCTATAATTTATTATATTATTAGTATTAATATTTGTATTTTATGTTTCATATTCTGATAAATTTTGAAGATATTTTTTATTAACAAGTCTCATTTATACGAATCTTTAGTTTCTTAAATCCTAATTGTAATTATCTATGTTTAGGTCTAATAAGTATCTTAGATGAATTTGGAGTATTCTTATTTAACTATGATTAATTTTTCTCTAAAACTGAAATATAATTTTAAGAAGTTTTTAAAGAAATATCCCCTAGGTAGAACACTAAGGTCCAGTAGGAAATTCTACAACTATCCTCCTATTTTGTTTGTAATTTTAATGTTGCATTTTTCCATTAAATATACACCGGATGTGGTTTCAACAGTCATGAGCACTCCTAAATCTCTCTAAAAATTCTTAAACTAATCCCAGAAATGTATTACCATTGTCCCACATCATTTTGGTATTGGCGTGATTTCTTGATCTAAGGATCCATGATGATATTTCACATCCCTATTTCACCAAAGATGATGAAGTGCAAGAAACATTTATAAAATTGAGCTCTCAATGTTTTAGTAATATAAATGTTACTAAGAAGCAGTCAGCTAGCTAAAAACAACATTAAAGGTGTTGAATTTAGAACTTAAGGATTATCTTTTTCTTTTTTCTTTTTGTCGTTTTTTTGGGTGTTGTTGTGGCACTAGTATAAATTTAGCATTGGAGACAGTAAAATTATTGTACCATGCGCCAATAGTGTGCCACAGTGACTAGAAAAAAGTTCTAATCAAATAATGGATCGAGTATAAGCAAACACCTTGGATTCAAGACATAGCGAATATCATCTAATGAGGGGTCGTTAATCTCATAGCCATCAGGAAGGCAGTAAACTTTCTCCGTCCGAAGGTTGATATACACATGGTGTCCTGCTTCGAGACTGTGAGTGTAAGCATGAGATTTCTTCCCTCTCCCTTGATAGTACTTGCCGCATACCAGGCAGGCATAAACATTCAGATTTGACAGAGAGACAGAGCAAAACTTCTCAAAATCAAAATCCAAAACCTGCGAAGCATTAACAAATATGAATTGACAAGAAGGAAATAAAGCTTACTAAATAGTAAGCAGCAGGTAACGAACTCATTACAAAAACAAATGGCCTTAACACCGAGATGCAGAAATGCATAATCAATGTACATATAAGAAACAAGCAACCCACCTGACGGTTTACAGTATCGAGATAAGGACAATCTTTTCGAACTTCAACATCACGGCTTCGCTTTACGTGATTGGCATCATCATCGTATTCATCATCTTCCTCATCGTCATTGTCGTCCCCTCCATCTCCACCATTTCTGCTTCCATTTTGTTTAAATTTGTAATCTTCTTCTTCATCATCATCACCATAGTTAAAACCAGGAAGCCGAGGGTTCTCTGAGGCCGGTGGAGGAGAAGAAGGTGAGAATTCCCCAAGTAATTTCTGCCTCTTTATTTCTGGAGCTAACTCTTCCTCATCTACAGCATTATCATCTCGTCTCTTTGATCCCATTATATTACTCTTTTCAATTTGTCTGGCAATTGGGCAAATTTAGTAATGACGCGAATATATATAACTTCAACCAAATAGCCCAAGTTTAATCAGACATATCAAATTCATGCTGCATAACTGAACCAAGAATTCCCAAAATTTCTAGTTGCATATCAACCCTAGATTGACATATGGTCATTTCAGCAAGAAAACAAGCTGAAATCGAAGCCGCAAGAACACATGAAACACGTAAAAGAATAGCTCGAATGTGGAATAATAAGGAGTGCAGCAGCTGTTTGGTAGCCGAGAAAAGTAGTGGGAAAAAAAAAGGAACAATTAACAATTCAAAACAATCATTTCAAGTTTTTCCCCAATTTTCTTGCCCGAATCAATAATTGAACTATTTCCAATGAAATAAATCAAACCATAATTCATTATTAGTAAGCAGCGGTGCCATACCTTCCACGAGAGCCGGCAATAACTTCAAACTTATAGTTCCAGCAAGTGAAGCGGGGAAACAGAGAGTCAAGAAGGAGAGTACGAAGGGGAGGTGGTTCCGGAACTCCAGCGGCGATGGCTCTCCTTGGAAATGCTTGATTACTCGAAGTTACCGATGAGAAGCTCGATTCTTCCAAGTATTGAATCGATTATGCTTCAGAAGATCAGCTTTCCAAATTTGTCCTCGCCGGTTTTGCGCGGCCACTGTTCTCTTGATCTTCAGAGCGTTTTTGCGTTGGAAAGTAAGGTTGGGCGCTGAAGATGAAGAGATGGATCCAAATTTTAGGTAATTGGGCTTAATGCTTCTTCCCTACCATTTTTTTTAATAATATTTTCGTCCCGTATTAATATACTTCTAATTTTTTTTAATACAACGAGTTGGGACGGGAGATTCGAACTTACAATCTCGTGGTTGAAACTATTATATGCCAATTACCGTTAAGCTATGCTCGCTTTGGCCAATATACTTCTAACTTATAATTTAATTTCTGTACTTTCAAAATATTGGTTATAGTTATGGTACATTTAAAACATTATCATTTTTAGTTTTTATTTGTAAAATTTTAACATAATTTCTACACATGAAAATCATTTAATATAAAGTCAAAGTTACACCCAATAAATATATTGAATATAGTGTCATGTTGAAATTAGGATAGAAATAAGATATTAAAAATAAAATGAAGGGACCAAAATGGTACCCCTTCTTACATGGACTAAAATAAATCGAGGAGGACCAAAATAGTATTTTAACATTTTATTTATTTATTTACTTTTTACATACGGCTCCTTTCAAACTCCAAATTTGCCAAAATGCCCTTATGTTTTAAACTTTATCTTTATCCTATTTACATATGTGTTCTATTTCTAGCATGTGATAACTTTCCTAATTCGAGATAGAGAGTTGGACTTTCAAATTGTGTTAGAAAAAAATAATTTGTTAACTTCTCCAAAAAAAACATATATCACTATTACTTTTCTTTATTTAATTTTTCATCGAAAATTAAGGCTTAAGCTTAAAAAGAGATCTAGTTTTTTTTAGACAGCCTATAAAATTACAACTTTTATAACATTGGGATCATAATTGAAGCTAAGCTATAATTCAGGCTACTTTTATATTATTTAACTAGTTTAGGATATCAGAGATTACAATTCAAAAATATTGGGCTCTCCACACAGAGAGTAGTATTTACCCAGGCTGTTCAGGGTATTTACAAGTAATTACAAAACTCAGCATTTAAACATACTCTAGCATGTCTCAAGATTAGATGATCATACCACAACTAAAACATTTGTATTGGTCCAAAGCCTATATATATAAAAGTTCGGAGGTTCAAATCCCCAACGTCTATATATATAAAAGTTCGAGGGTTAAAATCCCCACCTTAACAGCGTCGGTTCATGGATATCTCCTTTGCTAAGCAGAAGACTGTTTTTCAGTATTGACGGAAAGTAAGATTCAGGCGACCCGAACGAAGATTTGTTTCTTCTAAAAGTGCTTTCGGAGCAGTGTTTGGATGAATTTCAGTCACCCCATGAAAAACATGTCTTGATTTTCCACCAAATATCAAAATATCTCCCGATTTCAGAGTGACTTTCTCCGCCTGATCGATGTCACTTCGATCACCATATAGGAATTCTGCAGAGTCGCCAATGGAGAAGGAAACAACAGGCAACCCCTTTTCGAGACTTTCTCGACTTTCATCTCGATCCTAATGTAATGGGAGTATATTAAAATAACTCAATGTCAAAGGGTCATTGTATGGGATGTAAAGAGATTGTCATGGAAAAAGTATGCAAATGAAGAGCAATGAAGAGCAGAGGAGTTATATGCAGACCTGATGAAGACCCAATCGCCCATTTTGCGAGTAAAAGTTTACGATACAGATGTTCGGTTCCATCCATGGAAGTACACGTTCAGGAGTTTTGGCTGTTGAATCTTTTCCCATAATGGCATAAGAATCTTTGATTGCCTTCTCAACCAATTGGTGAAATTCAACTGGAATGCGTGGTGGTTTTGTATCATCAAATGGACGGACATCCCCATAAGTACTAGTGTCAGGATCCCAATTTTTACCAAGGCACATCATCTTCAAGTGTAATTTTCCTCCTTCGCGGTAACCGGGTTGGTAAAAACCTCCAGCGCCTAGACCAAGGTTCCGACATCTTTTTACTATCTGCACCTGCGAGCATAATAAAGATAGAAAATAATAAAGCAGGTCTTAGAGAGTTTGAAAATACTACCAACAGAGCCAGAAAAAATAGTGTGATGCCAATCAAACAACAGAAACAAAACCATCCAACATCTGCATGATGATCCTAGACTCAACGCAAATCACAGACCATAGTGAAAGAAAACTACAACCCAACTTAATAAAATCCATTTACTGCTTGATGATAAAGCACTTCCCGGTCCTGGGAAGGTGAGCGTTCCCTCATTATGTATATATGGAAACACATTTAACTCAAGAACTGGTTCAGTTATGTTCGAGCTATTCTACAATAACAAGATTTTGATATACATTATTCATTTATGTATGTAAGTCTAAGAGAGTGAAAATTAATGTATACCTGATCCCTGAGGGAAATTCCACTCTTCAGAAGAACCATGCCTGGTCTCAACACAACTCCACAGTTTCCCTCCGTTGTGCGCTTCGTCTCGTTCCTCTTTTCTTTGTTCGTAGCTAATAAAGAAGGATTCAGCGTAATACGTCCAGACTTTGGGGGGCAAATATCAAAAGGATCAAGGTTCACTGAAGGCTTATTGTTGTCCTCAGAACCCTTACAGTTAGAAACATTATTTTCCTTTGATTTTATGGAGGAACTCTCTTCTTTAGCACAGGATTCCAAGGGAACTTGAACCTTGAGTTCCTGGTCAACAGCAGCTAATCTGTTACAATTATCATAAGGCAATAAACTACTGCAACTTTCCCCTTCTGTTGTAGGTTCTCGAATCTGAATTCTTTCTACAGCAGAATGCAAATCTTTAGAGACATTTAGAGCAGATGACGGTGAGAGTTCGTTGCTATTAGAATTTGATTCCGTAGATGCCAACAATTGTTCAGAGGCATTGCCTGCACCATCAGCTGAACTATGTTCCTGCTGAAGATCCACAGCGCCAGGAGAAGGAGAAGCATCTTTCCCACTATTTAAAGGCCGCCATTGCCACTGTTCAGAACTCAAGGCCTGATTCTGCCCATAATTCTTCCTAAAATTCCTTGACGGCATCTGTTGAGAACTTCTGCCTCGGAAATCACCACTGCTAGGGTTAGAAGAACCATCAAGAGAAGGCCCCTCACCTCCAGCCTGAATTTTGTGTTAGAATGTGAAAAGAACAGAATAGAAGTGAGCGTGAGAGTAAAAATCTAAACTCCAGCACCTTCGTCATTCACTACATTTTCATTTATTTACAAACAAACTTCAAATTTCAAAATTCCAGAGATAAACAAGTAACCCATTAATCTTCCTAGTGCCATTATTGTAATCCACCAGTGGCACACGGCAACACAAAAACACAAATGGGTAATCCATTCAAATCCCTCCTCTACTGAAATAGAATCCGAACAGTCAAATTGATGGGCAGGAATAAATAAACAAAAGAAAGATCAGAGAACAGGGAATACGCGAAAGTGAGTAAACATTGAGGAGATTAAGGAAAGTTACATGGCGGGGACGATAGGAATAATTATCGGCGGAGCGAAAAGATCGTCCTCTGCTATTGGGATGGGGTCTTCCATATCCAGGGCGACCGCGATTCATGATCTTGAGAGGAACCGGGCTGAATTGGTAGTAACTTGTAAGGCGGTGGAGGTCGATCAAATTCAGAATTTCGGAGGAACTTGAAGCGGAAGGAAGTTCAATGGTCTTGGAACTGGAATCTGGTAATCAGAAGAGAGCGGAACCAATAACAATGGGTACTCAGAGTAGAGGGTACTCGGTTCTCTAAAGTCTAATCTAATAAAGAATGCTCTAATTTTTCAAGTTGCTTTTGATTTGCTTTTTTAAGTTTTCAAGATTCTCGCTTGATAAACAATAATTTAATGATACTAATATTAGACTTGTATTTATATAAAGTGTTGCAATTTATTTAAAAATTGTTGCAATTTTTTACAAAGTTTTCATTTGAAAATTTATTGAAAAAAAATGTTATCATAAACTGTCAAATGAAATATAGTATGAAATTAATAGGATGTAGGCAAACTTTATAAATAAATTAAAAAATTAGAAAAAAAGAAAGGATGATGTAGACTAAAGCTAGGCTTGCTTTGGCTAGTTAAGTATAGAAAAATTAAGGTTTTAACCCTATTTTATTATTCATTCGTATTTTTTACCCTTTTATAAAAAAAAAAAAGAAAAAAGAAAACCCTTATTTGTGATCCTTTATTTTAATTTTTGACCAATTTTTATTGTTTGCTCTTGTAAAATTACAAAAATAGTCTCCCCTTAGAATCCACAAAAAAAAAATCATCTCATAACTAAACCAGCATAATCCGCACCCTAACCCCTTCCATTCGGACCGACACTTCATATAATATTTGAAATCTACACGGTGAAAGAGAAAATCCATGAAGAAGATATGAGAAGAAAAGATTGAACCAAATTTTCGATTGAAAAGAAGAAGTTGAGGAGCAGGTGTCGTTGTTATCCGCATAGAAGAAAAATACACACCCTAAATTCAATTTCTTAAAAGCAATTTTGACGATTTTTGGTAGCAAGGAAGAAGGCATTTTAGATATAATCCCAACCTCAAAAAAATCGAAATTGCACAAGTCTCAGCATTTATGCAATTTTTGACCGAGATTATGCAAATTCGATTTTCATCGTTGGAGGAGCCATTTCTTACGTATTATATATATTGTAGAAAATTATCGATAGGTAAAAAACTTCTTGTTTTCGGGAATCAAAAGTGATTCTCCAAATAAAAAAGAATGTGAGTTTTAAGATGAGAAAACTCAAGATTGTGGAGAATTTTGCTTAAAAAGAAAAGGATATTTTGGAAATTTTACCAGGTATAAAATCTCAATTTCCTCTAAGCATGGTTATTTAATAGTTGATAATCTAATTTTATGTGTAAAACTTGATTTTTATTAAATTATTAAGTTTTTTTTTTGGCACTTTTTAGAATAAACTTCATTAAAAAACAATTAAATTGCCATCAAGGCTATAGAAAATTGATGGTCAGTTGTCAAAATTACCGCTTAGTTATGCTCGCTTTGACTGATTAAAAGAAATTTCAAAAAATGATCAAGAGAGAGTTTTCATATCCTGTAACCGATTGTATCTCTATCATTCAACGTTTTCTCCCTACCTTTCTCAACCCTAGACGCAGAGCCAATCTCAATACCTCATGAATCGTCAAAATTTTCGCCCACTAAAGGACACTCTACCGTGTGAATATCCACCATTGCCGGGACAATTTTTGAATTCTCATTTCAGAGCAAAACACCAATACCCCATTATGCGATTTGCAAAAGCAACATTCGTGTTGATTTTTACCATAGCCCACGGGGAGGAGGCACCCACAAATTGGAACGAATTAAAGAATCCTTTTTCTCTTTTGTTACAATTTTACATAAATTCCAGAATCAATTTTCTTGTTTAATGACTTCTCTATAGCCTAAAATAGTATTTACACATGCAAACTAAGAGGCCAATGTGATAATTATTCTCTACATAATTTCTAGAGACTAACAGTAATGTAGAATAGAGAATTGACACAAGAATTACAGTGGTTCAGTCCTAAAATAGAACCTACATCTGCTTTGCAAAGATAATATCCCTGCGAGTCTTTATTATTAACTACAAAGACCGAAATACAAATACACAATAGGCATATACACCAAAACATAATTGAAAAATCTAAAACAGAGAGTCAAGATCTAAACCTTCTACTCAAGAAGAGATTTGAGAAGCAATCTCAAATACATGTAAATCTCTTCAAGGATAGGTAAGAACCAACCAAGATAGAAAGATACAACCTCAACGCTTAGATCTACGTTGAATCCAAACCCGGATTTGAACAAAATCGCCAAAGAACCTTACGRTTGYACAACCACTCCAGCGGGTTGGAGGTGAAGGCTTGAACTCTCTCTCAAGGTGGTGGCTCTCCTCTATCTCTCTTCTTCTTCGGGTTTTTCTCTCCTCTACGAAAAAGGGATAAGGATGCTTATATAAGTGTTCCAAAACCAAGACCTAGAACTTTAGATGGGTTGGGTTAACCAAGAAGAATAATGGGCCATACAAGATAACAAGTAAGAGAGGTCCAAGCAAAATGATAAACAGCAGCATTAAAAAAATACATTATTAAATCAATATTAACATCTTTTGACTTCTTATGGCTTTGTGAAGAGAATTTCTACATAATCAATAATCCAAGAAGCCTTCACAAATAGATCCGAGATTGCCCTTATGTTATTCATGAAATTTCTATCCTTCCAAATGGTCCAATAGATTACAGTGACGAGTGTTAACTCTRAGGTAGAAAACTGATTCATCCAAACAGACCAGGGATCAAAAAATGAAAAAATCATTGAGATTTTGCTCTACCCCTACACACAATATTCCAAATTTGCTTGGCATCGATTTGACTTTCTTCAAACACACGGGGCACACATGTAAAACATCCAAACCCTTACTTCTTAGATTTGCCATGACTGGATTGTTGTTCATACATACTTTCCACATGAACACTTTAATTTTTAGAGGCATGAGAATTTGTTCCACCAAGCTTCTTTATCACTAGTTGAAAGTGAAAGTAATTTATCTCTCATAGCTACTTTGTACCCACTTTTGACTCAATAAAAATCATTCTTAGTATGGTGCCAAGTCCACCTATCAGTTGGCAGCTGCTCTGTGACTACTAATGGGAACACTCAAAACCACTCCACATTTGCTTCGCCAGGTATAACCTCCCTAAGTTTCACTAAATCTCATTGGTATATAGGAGCCCGAAAATGTTGTTCAGGATTTTGTTAAAGTTAGTGGTAGAATTAGCAACACTTATCAAATGGTACAATTTGATGAAATTGAAAGTTTATAGTAAGAACTGATCTTGCTGTAGCAGAAATTGCTTACCGCAAGTGTACGGGTCAAACTTTAATAAAGTGGTAAGTCAAATACCGATATCGTCCTCTAGATTGGGTTTCTAGATCACTCTAGTACCACATATACAATCGCTCAATTTTATTTAGAGAATCAAAATCAAATTAGAGAATATAATCAAAGGAAATAAACAAGCAATAACAAAGATAAAAACAATGAGGAGAAAGGTCTTAGGGAATTGATTTCACCTATTGGATTTATGAACCAACTACTTAATTAATCAAGATTGAACGAATTACTAATTCTACAGGCCAAGAACTCTCAAATCTCAACTGCCTCTCCCGAGCTCAAGTTAATTCTCCTTACCAATTATGAAACCAATATCCCTATCTAGTTTCTATAACAAGTAAAGGCTTTATTGAACAAGTATTTTAACGACCTCTAAAGAACTTCTAAATCTCTCGATCTTAAAACCCCTTTAGTTATGCATCCCAGTTCTAACTCTAAACCATCTCTCCCGAGCGTAAGATTTCAAGTCTAAAATCAATCAATCTATGGCCAGTAGATTCAAGGCATGAAGCGTAGAGAAGCATAAATAGAACATTCATAAACATTCAATCAAGAAAACTAAACAATCAATGCATAAAATTCAATGGCTACATCAATCCCTAAGATAAGAGGTTTAGCTTCTCATATTCAATAAAATCACAATGAGAAGTCCATAACAAAACTAGAAAAATCAAGGGAAAGGAGAAGAAACTATGTTCGGCGTGTCAATCGTCAGTCCTCGAAGCGACCTCCACGATCCCGAGCCTTGAAAATCACTTTTCTAAGCTTTCCAATGGTCTCCTTGCCCTCCAATTTGGCCAAAAAGGCAAACTGTCATAAAACCTCTTCCAAACTCCCCCTTTCGACGGCTGCACAACCCTATTTTTATAAAAAGTTGTCACGGCAGGACCGTAGCGCTATATACAGGGCCATGGCGCTACACTATTCACAAACGCGAAATTTAAACTCTAGAGCGCCGCGACGCTCTAGGCTAGTGCCGTGGCGCTATCTCCCCTGATTTTTAGCTCCAAATCTTGTTGTTATTCTATCTTGGTCACTTTGATTTCGATTTTTCTCTCATTTTGATCCAAATATGTCTCGTTTCTTCTTGATGCTTTATTCCTGCAAAATATATCTTATGTGCTTAAATTTGTCATGAAGAAACGAAAACTAACAAATAATTTCAATATAAATCTCATGAAATGTAGCTCACAAAGTGTGCTATCACTTGCCAAGTTTAGAAGAAAAATATTTTTTTCCCCAAAATTTTAGTACAATAGGACCAAATTAAGATTTTTAAAAGATAAAGAACCACATGGAAATTACCTTAAAAATTAGGGGCTTTTTACTGTTTAGCTTATTATTTAACGCATTAACAAGTAAATATACCTGTTTTGATACATAAACTTTTACTTTATTAGTATTATAGTTATTTTATGCCATTAATGTCTTTAAAAACTTTTGCTAAAACAATATCAATTTTGGAAGGAGGAAGACTAAAATAAAAGTTATTTAAAAACTAAAATAAAAGCAATAATAGTATATATTTTTTATTATTTCATATTTATTAATAATATGGATTGATTTGAAATCGTTAAAGAAAATATGACTTAAATAAATTAATTAGAGATAAAAGGTTTAAATAAGTAGTTGTTATATAAATATATATTTTTTAAATATTAAAAACTAAATTTAGTATTTAAAAAATAAAATTAAATTGAGCTATAAAGATTTAAATTTATAACTTGTTGAATTAAGTTCATGTTAACGTTTTTAAAGCAGATTTAAGGAATAAAAGAGTTTGTTAATTAATATCGAATCATAAGACCTAAATGTTGTATAAATATAAATTTAAAAATATTATTGTAAGTAACAAAATGGTCTAAAAAAAATAGATATAGAGAGTGTGTAACAAAATTTTTGCATCATCAATAGAACAAATTATTTCAAATTTTTTTTTCAAAATTTATACTTGATTTTGTTGAACAAAAAATTTAATATTTTCGTTATTTTTCTACCGTCTTATTTTGATCGGATAGGTTTTATTTTATTTTGCTAAAATTATATTTAAATATATAATCTGGCTAGAAATTAACTCAATCCATTAAAAATGACAAACTTTATCGGATAACTTTTTGAAAATAAAAATAAATAAAAAAATTCCACAAAACCCATCGCATAATCATCACATGCCAAGATACCATCATTAAACAAAAAACACCCTAACACATTAGTTTGATTTTTTTTTTAATATACGAAGCTTAATCTTTAATATATATTTTTTTCAATTTATCTTTTGACCTTTTAAAATTCTCAAATTTGTTTCAGCTGGTTAACAATTTTCAATTAAATCGTTTCTTAAAAGAAAATTGTTAAGATAAAATTATCATGTGATTAAATTATTATTTTATTAACATATTTGGACACGTATCACTGAGAGGTTGAGTTACGTATGTTAATAAAATAATAATTTTATTAAAAAAAAAACTTTTTGTCAATAGTATCTTGAAAAAAAAACCTACATTAGCAAATACTTTTAAAAAAAATTGCGTCGAATCTAATTGATAAATTTTAATACATCAAAGGTAAAATTAATAATTGCGAAACATCGATGACCAAACTGACCCATGTTGCTTTTTTTTTTTTCCTTTAAGAAATAACTTACCTTAAAGTATGGTTTTTATTTTTATAATTGTCCACGATTGATTGCATAAACGAAGGGGGAGAAATCATATCCCTAATCCAATTTTGTGGATTTTGAAAAACACCTTTTAATAATTAAAAGTGGTGCATGTTCATGTGTCGGTATAAATTAGCTAATTTCTTAATCTAAATTCAAAATTTTTATTCCCATGATCATGTTTGTCTATTGATACTACAAATCTTATATTGTTTTTCTTTTACTTTATCCTCATACTTTCAGTTTAAATTTTAGTTCGACCATCAAATATATTATTAATATTTAATAGAATTTTCTATACAAGTAGTTAGACTTGATAAGGGACCAAATGTGCTAAATTGTTATATAATAGGGTTTAAATTATTTAATTTTTTAAACTATAGAGGTTAAACTGTTACGTACTAAGATTCAATGACTAAATTGAAATTATAGAAATGAAACTACACAGAAATTGAATTGTTGTATTATTGTATTGGGAGACTTTAATGAGCTTGAGATACTTTTAATTATTTAAGATTAAAAAGTAATTTTATAAAAATTGCTTTTGATTATGCACTTGGTTGCATTTTCTTAGAAGTTTTTCTTAATAATAATTTGTTCGGTTCTTTGTTATTTCCTTATTTTCTTACTTCATACTTCAAAGATGTAATTACTTTAAAAAGCAATTGTTCATACTTCAAAGGTGTAATTACTTTAAAAAGCAATTTTTTTAACAATCTATTAAGTGTTTCTTCCAAACTGTTTATAGAAAAAAAAAAGATATTATTAGTTCGAATATTTGACATTTTGGTGACCTGAAAATGTTGGTTTATTTTTATTAATTTGAGTATGCAATTTTAAGTTTAATAAAATTATTTTTTTTAATAAACAAAACCA